GATGCTACAGAGTAAGTAAAAAAAAAACAATTTTTGTATGGGGGGGGGTATCATTCCTGTAGCACCCTTATACAATATATGTGTGGTTTATTCTACATTCTTATGTTTTCTTTTATGTATTTCTAGTCTTGATGATTTATATACTTGTAATTAAGGGCACTTACCTGTACTATTACTAATTAAATTGATTGGCTACCCAATAGTTCATCTAGTAATAGATAATGTAATAGATAATGTCAGAATATTGCAGGAGCAAACAGTTGAATAAGGTAGGGGATTTCCTTTTTGCAGTTGCATATCAGATACCTGAGGCAGCGAACACTTAGGAGGATCATGCGCCCCATGATTTGTTTATGTCCCGGAGTTGCAATGCACAAAAAAGCACAATATATGTCTATATGAATATACATTTCTGAGGAGTGTGTGAATACAAACACTATGGATTCTGCTGAGTCAGCACTTACTTGGAGCCACTGCCATTACCAAGAATTTCAGCTAAGATTAGGATCATGTCAGTTTCCCGATTGTAATGAAATTGCCAAATAACTCCTTGAGGGAAATATCACTATTCTGTGTTGATGGAATTCATACTACATTTCAAACTGTACACTATTTTTCTACTCTATACAGTGGATTTATTTTATTTTGAGGACTGAAATGGACTATCTGCCTAAAAAAAGCAGCATAGGAACCTACATATCAAAATCCATGTACTGTAGCAAGCATAGGCCTCTGTTAACTAACTTTTTGTGAGTTCAGAATATTTAAATAAAAAAAATGGAATAACTACCATCTGAGCTTTTTAGGAGAGCTGACCTCTCATTGTACCTATTATTTAATAATAATATACTTATTATATTAATAATATAATTAATATGTATGTTCAATTTTACCTTTAATTCAACTATTTTTAGGCTTTATAAACTTCCTTAGTGGGACAAAATGAGAGACCAGACGTGAACTTGATAGAAAAAAAGTAACTGATTCAGCAAAAGAGCTCAGTAATTTATTTTCTTTTTCTCTACAGCACCCTAAGTCATCTGTTTGTTAAAATGTTTTACAGTTATAGTATCATTAACTGACTGCCCCAGTTAATGCCTGTGCTCCATCAAAGACCTTTGGCTGAAGTCCAGTTCTTTGTGATGTTGGCTCTGATTTGATAGATATTAGCAATGCTATATTACTGTAAGTACACACTAACGTGGTACGTATAAGCAAAAAAACAATGTATTAAATTTGTAATAATTCTATGATGTAAACTGTTGTAAGTTCAAAATCCAGTTTTCTGTTCTTTCTAGTAACTTGTAAAATTGTTCAGTCCTTTCATAATACGATTGTCCTTGTCTTATCACTTCACTGTCATTTAAAAACCATTGAGTGGTATCTATAGCCTGCATACATAAACCCAAAGTGGAGGCAGGTAGTTTATGAACTAATTTTTGCTTTAACTAAAACTGACAGGAGAATGTACCTTTATTAAAAATGTCTTCAAATGTAAGAAAGCGTAATCATGATAAATTGATAGACCTTCCCTTGAATCCGTAATCAGCTCAGTGCACAACATGGGTAATGGATGGAAACCGTAAAGAATAATACTCTAAATACAGAGAAAAGTAAATAGCCTACTGGGATGATTCAGTAACGCTCTCTATCTTATTGAAACCGATCTCCTTAAACAGGGAGCAAATTGAAAATCTGTTTCCTTCTAACACCATCTATCCAGGTAGCACAATTAAAGGAGACAATTGCTGCTTATCATTAGGCATGAGCCTCTAACATTGGCCTTAACATTGCCTTTTTATCAGACTTCGCCCAATCTATTATTTTCAGGTTGAATTCTCCCGGCTTTGGTCTACTGCAAGACATCTGGTAATGACTTTCACAGAAATGTTTAATGCATATTTTCTCAAACCATCACGTTGGATTAGGGTTTATTATTTTTTATCTACATTGCAGGGTAAAGTAACACAAAAAATGAAAGAGATTTCACAATCAGTGACATCTGCTGAGCAGTTGCCTCAAGACTCTTAAAAGTAATTTAGTCTTTGAGTAAACTTTACCCTTGTTCATGGAGGACTATATTGAAAAAATAATGGGAAAAAAACATTGCTTCAACTAAATTTGCAAACCTTTGGTTGCACTGGGAATTAAAAAAAATCTAAATCTGTTTAAAATCTGTCAGGCTGTTCAAAGGGTTTGTATGACACAGAATTCCTTTTATTTTTACATCTTAACAAAAGATGCAGAAACATCTAAAACATTTGTATATCTTCTGTTATTGGAAAAAGACACAACAAATATAATTGGAAAAGGCTGGTTTGATATACTCCGAATAACAAAAACATACATTAACCACTCTAAATTTCCATGGTAAAAAAAAAAAAGTTGAAATGGATAGAGATTATGTGACCCATATACAAGGTTGATATCTTAAAGATCATGTTGCCCACTTGTCTCTTTTCTTATTTTCATTGTTCTCCTCATCTATGATTAATTAAACTGTGAAACTCAAACCAGATACACAAATGGGAACTACGTGGAACTGTATTTAAAGCCAAGAAGAGGATACACTCTTTACAGTATATAAACAGCTGTGGGAGTGTGAAACAAGCTACTGTACCCAGCCACATTGCAGAAGCTGCTACTCCGGATTCAAGAAACAGATGGAATGGCTCCTTTGTTCAATTTTCTATTGAAAAGGGATAGATGGTCTAAATGGCCGTGTGTTCTGTAACTTGTCTTATGCTATTTATTTAATTTGTGCATGTGACTTCTCTAAAATGGTGGGGGATGCAGGAGGAGTAAATCTCTGCTCTCAATTCTTCACCAGCTAAGAGACACATTGATTCTCCATAACTGGATAAGTCAACTGCGTTTCTAGAGCATTTAAAGGGAACTGCAATGCCAGTTTTATATTTCGAGCTTAGAAAGAATCAGCATTGATGCGTGCATTTCAAACCACAATTTCAACCACAGGCCGGGCGCCTCAGGGGGGGCAGTAGCGGAAGCACACCCGGATAATGAAGTCGCCGCCAGGAGAAGAACCGAGGGCATGCAAATGGTGTGTTGTTGTTAGCTCTGTTTTCTCCTTACAGTTGTGTCCACCCTGACCCTGTGTACTTGTCCCTATTGCTGCCCACGTGTACTCAACGTTTCGTTGGGTGGAGTCAACATGGTACTAAATTTGAAATTTGTATTTTTTTTCCTGTATCATCAATGAATTTATTTGATTAAATGGATTAACCGGTTTGAGAAATTGGTAATGCAGTTTACCCCTTAATGGAGCAGCAGCCACAGGAACTGCTCAGGAATAGCTGCAATACCTGAAAGCTTGTTCAGCTGAGGAATATTCAGAAACTGGTATCAAATGAACTTTGTCTTGGGTGATCAAGGGGATCTAAAAACTACTGGATACTGAGGCAGAATAGCAAGAAAGCCAAGAAATCAATGGAGTCTACCAAACCTTGATAACCACTCCATAAGAATAACCTACGATTTATAGCTGTCCAGGAGATTTGAATATTCTGAAGTGTAATCAAGAAAGTAAAGCAATGCATATCTGCAACTGCCATGGGTGATTAACTTTTATAATATCATTGAGCTGCTACAAAGAAACATACTGTATTCTAAAACATATGATGAAGAAAAGAAGATGGATATTAGAAAATAGATATTTACACTCTGCAGTGAAACCTTGTGTAAATATTCTAGGCTATATATCTTCCATGGCGTGGAAAAAAATATTAAAACTGAAAGATCCACAACAAAGGATAAAAGTTGATTATCCAGCACTGCACTATATCTACTATATCAAGTAGAGAGAGATTAGCATTTGTTGATGCTTCACTTGTTAGCATGACAAAGATATTGAGCGTGCTGTCATAATAGCAAAGAACTACTTACTGTAGCCAAACAAAAAGCAAGCTGGAGATTTTGGATTAAATGTTATGGGTTCTGTGGAGGTCACATGCCAATCTAATCAAAGCAGCTTGAGACTACGTGGAATTAGAGCAAGCCTAGATAAAAGGATGAACTGGAATGTTCTTCAGTACATTTTGAACAATATTGCTGAATCACCCAATAAAAACATACAAGTACTGTTAAAGACAGACTGTTGACTGGTAAACAGTGACCGAGTGAATATTCAAAACGCTGCTCTAATGTTACAATTGCACTTGGTAAGAATGACTTTTTGTTAAATATTATTCATTTAATGTTATTCAATATATATTCTATTACTTTCGCTTTCATAAAACCATTACAAACATTTTGAATTTAGTCTAAGTGTACAGTATGTCTGAGGATTTTGTGAGTTTGAAGAAAACCCCAATGTAACCTAATTCTACAGTATTTCTACTGCAAGGTTTTAAGAGCCACATTCATCAACTGGAAACATGGAAATTGCACATGAAAACTGAAGTGCGTTTAAAACACAAAAGATCAGGAGACACTTATTAAAATACTGTATTATAAATATAATAAGAATAAGCCACCCAGCCATATTGTTGAAGATAACATCTTGAAGAAGACAAGAGATGGATAGAATCCTTGAATCACTTAGCTACTAGGTATCAAATGAGTAGGATGGGGCCAAATAACCTCCTCTCATTTTGAAACATTTCTTAAGATCTCATGAGGGAAAAGTCGATTGATGAACTTTGAGAACTATTTAATTTACTGCAGAAAAAAACAAACAAACATTATTTCAATCTCATTCCCTGAAACTATTATTCACATACAGTATTTCACATGGATATATGAGCTTTAGTCTTATGGTAAACATTAGTTCTACAGGGTACTGGCAAGTCCTGAGTTTATTAACCATGATAATATGAACACGGACACAAAACATAAACAAAAAAAAAAATTAAAAACAATAGCAGAGCCTTTATCATCACATTTTCACTTCACCTACTCATGTTTCACAGTATATTATGGTATACAAAGCTAAGTTGTAATAAGGGTCAGGTTGTGCTGATTAAGTGTTACTACGATCTTACCTCCATCAACTTCATCAGCTCCAAAGTGATTCCGGTAAAACAGCATAAGCTCTATTTTATAGCACTTATAGAGTGTCACTAAACACACAAGCAGCAGCAGAATAGCTCCAAGACCGCCGGCCAGTTCAACCGTGTACATCAGCTCTGAAAAAGAGGGGAAAAACAGATGCATTAATCCTTTTTTGAACATGTGTTCGAAAACATGTTATCTGGTTCACCTCACTGGAACTTAGAGAAGCACTTTGCAGAGAATGAAAACAACCTGAAGGCTGGAAAGAGCTTAAACAGGTAAGATAACGACTGCTGCTGTACTGTATAAACGTAGCCAATTCTGAATGCCTTTCCTACCGCTGTGACAGTGAAGTTTCATTAAGCCTGATGACAAGCATTTATTCAAAACTTTCCAAAATCTCGTGTTCAAATTGATATGTCACCTAAACTCCGGTTTTATTTACAAATAATAAATGAACAAATGATACAAAAGGCATATGTCAACACAAAGTATACATTGCAGGACCACTGCAAAATAGATTGCACACAGACCATGTTGCATCAGATGCTCTCTGTCTTCTGTTTGTGGTTGATAGAGGAGGTGGATTCTCTGAGAAAGGGGTTTGAGGTTTATGGCAATGATGTACTTCGACAAAACATTTATAACCATCCAGATTTATATATTTTCAAATGCGGAGCAGTACACAAAAACATAAAATCTTTTACTTGCTGTGCTAGCTGGGATGAAAATGAATTTTAAAGTTTTAGTAAAATATGTCAACGAGTTCTTTAATTAATTTAAGAGGGAAAAGGGAAAACAATTTCAGTAGTGTCTAATTCTGGCACATTGGTCTTCTGGTCTATGGCTGGATCAATGAGAGACTGCAGTTTCTGTTCTAGACAGTACATCAAAACGCACTGATGTACTCAAAAGTACTGAACACCTGAAGGCAAAGCCTATGAATGATTGATGCTGATACAACTCAGTATTTGTTGCTTTCTTCAACCAAAACGTTGAAAGCATGCCCTTGCTTTTGATGTGTCATCTTATAATTGTTGTAAGTTTCTATAGGAATAGATATTGTCTAGTACAAAAGAACTTCCAAAACTAACTGCCGATCCTTTTACCAAGACCTAAATTTCTAAACTAATTAATGCCAACATCATGAATGTTGTGTGCATCACATACCTTATTGCTGGTTTAGGTAACTTCAGGCCTGAAGTGCCCTGTGTGTTTTTGGTTTTCATTCCAAACTGTAGTGACTTAATTTAACTAATTAAATGGATTGGTAGAGGTGCAAGGAGTCACAGTGCGGTTCAGTGAAGGTCTGAAAAGAAGTTTATTCTCTCAGTATCAGACCAACAGAGAATTTCTCTGTTGGTCTCCTCATCCTGTTTCTCCTGTTTCTCCTCATCCTGTTTGCGATGCTAAAATGCAAGAAGTCACAGCACAGTTCAGCTAAGGTTTAAAATGGGTTTTAATTTGTTACTAAAAGGGCTCTAAATTGTGCCTAAATGGTCACTATTTCATATTTTGGGGAGCACCATGGGGTACACACTATCTATGTATCTTCTTGGGTGCTCTCTTGAAAATGGCCTTTTTCATAACAAATAAAAACTCATTTCAAACCTTCGCTGAATTGTGCCGTGACTTTTGGCATCCTCTACAAATGTGATTATGCACAGTAACTAAAAGATTTGAAATCAGTTCTGTCTTAACTGAAAGGTACAGTACATTGCAGAAAATCCTCACTGGAGGATTGATGTTTGACTTGCCTGTCCCTGCGTTATGAACAGGTCATCTTTGGTGGGGACAGGGGTTAAGTGTATGATTCGTTACTCTTTGTTACTTGTGATCTACTGTAGTTTCCCATCCCCACTTATCCATAGGCGAGACAAAGGCAGTGGATATCGTCTAGCTTACTAAGCACATCATGTCATGTCATTTAACATACCGCTTTATACCATATAGCTAAGCACATCAGTTCATTACAAATGTGCCTCTGACAATAGAACACCTTTTGATTCAGCCATGAGGTCAACTAAGAAGCCAAAATCGGACAGATGTAAATACAGAAAAAATCAATTGAGAAATGAGTCCCTCCAAGGCAAGATTGTTTAGGTACACAGGCAAAATGATGTTGGGTAACAAATAATTTGACTCTTTGTCCTTAACTGTTGCAAATTGACTTAAGTAAACTTACTTTACTGTAGATCTACTGCAGTTTAACCTATTTATACATACACCAGTATTATATGTTATATTTCTTCAATAATATATCACATATAACAAATTATATAAATACAGTACTGTATATGTGATATATTATTTTCTGTCTAGTGCAGGTTGAATTGTAGCATAAAAATACATAACTGAAAAAGAAAGGGAAGGATTTCTTTAAAGCTTAAATGATTAGTTAAAATTGGTTTAAATGTATAAAGTAATTTGTTGAATATTACAACAAATGAACAAAAAATTTATTTATGATGTTAATTATTTTTCACTGGTGCAGCACGAAAACAAAGGATGAACATTTCTGGCCGAATTGTGAATTGTTAAAAACTAATGATAAACTGAGCTTTAAAAATCCGATTTGTTATCATTACAATGCAAAGGAGTATTATCGCAGTTACCACTCTGAATTTCAGAGCTTTGTTTCTTTAGGAGCCTCACAACATGCCACACTCCAAAAAAGATCAGATAAAGACTTGTTTCCTGATGAGTTTCTGTCAGTCTTATAAGATTAGACTAAAGAGCACTATTTTTCTTCCTTCACCATCTAAGTACAAGGGTTTATGGGAGATTAAGACAAATTATCTATGAACACTAGAAAGTGTGCCTCACTTATATGCCAATATTTTTGACAAAGCTCCTTGCCGATTTGCGATTCATCATTTTTTTTTAACTAGTGCAAATTTCAGTTTAGATGTGCCAGATCATCACCATTTGTCAGCCATGACATTTTGATTCAGGCGTCTTACAAGTCTCATCTGCCACCATGCACCACAGGGGAGAAGGAAATGATGGATCGGATTCATTCCCTTGGAGCTCAATGCCAGAGCATAGGTAATCCAAACAAATGTAGCCAAATCTATCTGCCTGACATCCAACGTACCCTACGTGTTGTCATTTTATCTTATTGTAGAAGATAAGGCATCTCCATCTTCCCTGACTCTGTGCTCCCTCCATCAAAAGAATCTGCACGCCTCTTTCAAGTATTATCATTACTGAGCTGAAGTAGTGCAGTCCTCTGCAAAAATCTATTTCTTTAAATCTGCCCCCTTTTCACTCTAATGATTTGATACTTATATTCATCTTCTTGGTTTTGATAGAAGGTGAAAACTAAGAATTTTAACCTACGGCTTATCATGGTACAGAACTTTGTAAAACTATTCACATGCTTTACTAAGTTTTCAGTTTTTACTGCTTTAAAGCTTGCAATCTTGACATCCTTGAGTAGCAGGATTTTAAAAGTCAAAGTTTAAAAGCAAAAATGTAAAAGTCATGATTGCATAAGTATTCAAATCCTTTGCTGTGACAAACCTAAATTAATTTAGGTGCACAAAATTACCTCAACAAGCCACACAATTATCTGAGGTGCCTCTGTGAGCAATAATAGTGTTCTCGTGACTGCAGAATACACATACTGTATTGTAATGTTCCTCAGTCAGGCAGTGAATTTCAAGGAAAGATTCAACCATGAAGACCAAGGAGGTTTAAAAACAACTAGAGAATAAAGCACAGATGAAGAGAAGTGTATAAAAACATATCAAAGACCTTTGAGCATGTTTAACTTGATCATTAGGAGCTGGAAAGCACCCAGACACTGCTTATATCAGGCTGTCTCTACAAAATGAGCAGCCAGGCAAAGAAGAAACTGATTAGAGATGCAACTGTGAAGTCAAAGGTGATTTTGAAAGAGATCAATGGCTGAGATGGGAGAAAATGTCCATGGGTCAACAATATCCTGGTTACTCCACAAAGGAGGCATGTTTAGAACTGAAAGAAAACCACATCAGCTCCCACATGGGGTTTGCACTTAGGATCTAAGTGATACAGAAGCCCTATGGAAAAAAGATTTTGTGGTCAGACTAAATGAAATTGGAATATTTCTGATGTCAAAATTTAAATCATTACATCTGACATAAACACACCATAGTGCATCACTCAGTCAACACAATACTGTCAAGCATGGTGGTGGCAGCATTATATTATTAAGTAAAGTACTGGTAACCCTTAGAGGAAAACCACTTCAAACCTAAAACTGGGACAAAAAATAATCTTTCAGCAGGATAATGATGGGAAGCACTAGGCCAAAGCTTCACTGCAGTGACCTAAGAATTAAGAAGTAAATGTCTTTGAATGGCCCAGACAAATTTGAATCTTATTCAAAGATTTAGCTGATCCTGAATCTTTTATTTTTTTAAACAAGCTAGTCAGGTCAGACTAGGATTCTATTCTAATCAATTTGAGAGTTTTTCTGAATCTGCCTAGATGATATGCAAAACATTCACCAAGCCAATGCACAGAATTAGTGGAGACTTATCCTAAAAGACTTGTGGCTATAATTTCTGCCAAAGGTGCTTCCACCAAACACTGATCACAAGGTCAGAATTCTTCTGCAATCAGTGTATTTCATTTTTTCTTTTTAGTTTTTGCTGATTTATTGGAACCTGATAGATAATGTAGAAAAGAGTAGGATGTTGCTTGCAAGGTAACAGAACCATAAACTATAATTCCAAAATGATAAATACCAAATTTAAATATAGATTACTTATGACACAGACTATATATTTCATTTTATTCATAAAACAAATAAATGATTTTGAGATATATAGTTAATACTATAGAAATTGAACTGAGGTTATGTTAAAATAGTACAATGCATTAGTAGGACCTTCCAGAGTATATCATGTACATTTTTGGTCAGTGTGTTTACCAAAAAGATGTTGTTCAAAGCAGTGTCTTACATTGACAGTCTAAAATAACTTTTAAACAAAGGGACCTGATACTCAATACCGATACAAGTATTCCACAAAGGCATAAATAAAGTCAGACATAATATCTAACAGATGTTTTAGGAACATAAGAACACAAGTAAGGTTACAAATTATAGGAGGCCTTTAGGCCCAATTACTATAGTTAATTTGGT